AGATAACTCTAGCTTGTGTTCAGTTGACGTAAGACCAGCCAGTCCACTTGTTTACGAGATTGTGAACAGATAAAATTTATGCTCATTTTATTTACCAGTTACATATAGAGCCTGAAGCAGCATGGAGCAATCGTTATTAAATTGATATTAATTAAAGAGATAGATTGTATGTTTCAAAGGATGATAGACTTGGTGTAGCAGCCTCCTCCAGGGTGGTCTCCAGCAAGCCCACATCCTGACACTCATTCCTTTGCCTATTCCCTGGATCCTGTCCTTCAGCAGCTGCATTTTGTAACAATGCGTATTTGCTCTTCTAAGCTGTTTAGTTTGGAGTCATTTGTTACTCGGCGGTCATAACTAATACACTTGGATTTCAGTGCCAGTATTAACTGTTATTTACAGCGTATACTCACAATTTAATCTCTAGGGGTTTGTTTTCCTTCTTTCAAAATGGTTTTAATATCTATTTATGGTGCTGCTGAAACATAATCCCAAGTGTATAGTAATTTCCAAATTTTTTCTTTTGCTTTTATAATGGTTATGATGAAGTGAAGTGATTTATGGTCTCTGCTGTGATACTCTGCCTTACTTCAAGCTCAGAGCAAAAATGTCAAAAACGTCGAAATTCTGGAAAACTTCAACCAAAACACATCTTTCTTCCTCTAGTCTGGGTTATTGAAGGTGTTTTGCCACAGTGACAAAAAGCTGACTAATACAATGTCTGGTGATGCTAGGCTAAGTCGATGAGCCACAGTTTCTAGTCACCTGTGTGGTCCTGAGAGGAAGCCACCAGCACTCTCCAGCATATGTGTTTCTAGCCCAGAATGTCTGTGTTGGGTTTTTTTTTTCTTTTTTAGCTTCTGTGGGTTTATAATCCATTGTAAGTCAAAGAGAATCTGTATTCACTTTGGTTCTCTTTATGTTTTTCAGAATGTTTGTAAGCCAGGCAGCAGTGGCTCCTGTCTTTAATTCCAGCATGTGAGGCAGAGACAGGCAGATATCTGAGTTTAAGGCCACCTTGGTCTTCAGAGCAAGTTCCAGGACAGCCAGGGCTACACAGAGAAGCCTTGTCTTGAAAACCAAAAATAAAAACAAAACAAAAACAGAATCTTTGGAGGGCACAGAGTTTCTTTTTTACTTTTAAAAAAATCACGTTTATTTGTGTATGTTGGGAGTGGGTGTGTGCAGTGTGTGCCCTTGTGCCTGCATGGAGGTCAGAGGACGATGTGAGGGAGTTGGCTCTCCCATTGACCATGTGCATCATAAAGGTTCATCTTGGGTTATTAGGCTTGGCAGCAAGCTTCCTTACCAGCTGAGCCATATTGCTGGCCCCTGCAGAGTTTTTTGCTGTGTGCACTTACTACTCCTTCTGCCTGGGGTTTTCTCTCCTAGTCTGTGGTTCTCTTGAGGTCATGGTAAAGGTTCAGCTGCATATGTCACCTTTTTTTTTTCCAACATAAATTTTTATTAATTATTTGGGAATTTCAGGCAAGGTACCCTATCAATCTCACTTTCCATTTCTCCCATGATCACCCTTCCACCCTTGCACCCTTCCAAAGAAAACTAAAACATCAAGTCCAATTTGTATTGCCCATATACTCCCTGGAGCATGGCCAACCTCCCAATAGCCAGCCCCTTGAAGAAAACCGAGTCCTTTCCTCCCATCAACTGTGAAGCCATCAACTGTGAAGAGCTACACAGCATCATCTTCATCACATTTTTAAAGGACTCTCTTCAGTAGGTTCCTGTCTGGACTGTTTCTTTATTTTTGGGATGGGTAGGGTTGTCACAGAATCTTCAGTAGTTCTCATTCAAAGTTATGTGTCTGTAGTCATCAATACCACAACTACAAAAGAAGCTTCCTTGCTCATAGCAGCCAGTGGCAGCATGGATCACAGACATCAGTGTGGTTTCTCGTAGCAGCTTGGGTCTCATACATCAACATGCCCCCTGGCGGCACCATGGACCACGGAAATCAGTAGGCAGTACAGATTATGGACATTACTATGGTCTCTGGCGGCAACAGAGAGCACGGGCATCCTTCTGGTTTCCTGCATCATGATGGATCACAGACACCAAGGTGGCTTCCAGTGGAGACTTAATCCAGAAAATGGACCAGTGTAACATAAAGGCCTGACTCATTGGGGTTTCTGTCCCGCCTGGTCCCCTAGCCATTTAGTCCCAGAGAAAATCACACAGAGAGTCTGCATAAGTTATAAAACTGATTGACCCATTAGCTCAGGCTACTTATTAGTTCTTGTAGCTTATATTAACTCATTATTCTTATCTATGTTAGCCACATGGCTCAGTACCTTTCTCAGCGGGGTAGCTCACATCTTGCTTCTTTGGTGATCTGAGCAGAACTGCAGAGGGAGCTTCCTCCTTCCCAGAGTACTCCTGTTGTCTCTACCTGCCTCTACTTCCTGTTTGGTTGACCCGCCTATACTTACTGTCTGACCAATCAACATTTATTTAAAATATGATTGACAGAATCCAGACAATTCTCCTGCACCAGACCAGTCTTCATCTCAGACATCTTGTTACTCAGAGGCAAGGTGATTGTGCAGTGGGGCTGCATGTCTGGAGGCAGGACTTGGGCATGTTTAGGATGCCTTGTACCACCCTGTCCTTTGTGCCTGCACCCGGTCAACATGTGGGGCATGACCACGGTGTTTGAAGCCTGCAGGCAGCACAACAGCCCATGCTTTCCTGTCCCCCACAGCAGGGCTAACATCAGGAGCTGCAGAACCAGGGGTATAGCCAAGCCATGGGCTGGGCCTGCGGGTAGAGCATAGCACCAGCACAGTGGGCCGTGAAAGGCTGGTGGTGGACCAGCGCCCCCAGCAGCGAGTTCTACTCAGCAACAACATGCTCCTTTGTGGGCAGCGGCCGCGCTCCCGTTCCTGTCCCTATTTGCTGTTTCTGGTTTTGCTTCTCTCCTTTGCACATATCGCTCAGTTCCGCCCCCACTTTTACAATTTCATGAAATGAGACCACTTTTAAAAAGCCCCTTCCGATAAGATCTACCTTCTTTTTTCTTTTCTTTTTTAAAAATTGTTTCAGAGATGCTGTGCATTTTTTGCAGGCTTAGTCTCTGCCGCTACATCTCCCCAAGAAGCCTCCAAGGATCTCTCTGGCTCCTCAGAGCTGCCCCGAGGCCTCGAGGGTGCTGGTAGCCGCCACCATCTTGAGTCTGTCCAAATGTCACGTTCTTAGAGAGATCATTTCTACCTGCTCAAGCTGTGTTCCATTACACTTCCCTCTCATCTAATTAATTCTCTTTGCATTCCTTTTTATGTCCTAAATTGCCTTTCTGCTCCCTGGTGAACCTCATGTCTTTGCTCTCTCCAGTGTCTGGAATGGTGCCTGGGATGTGGGAGGCATGGGCTTGATAGTGCCAGGTGGAAATGTGCCTGTCTGGCTTGGGATTCTTACTTTAACACTTAATCTTTCCGGGGATGTGAGCAATGGCAGAAAGGAACATGGTAGCCTGGGGAATACAGATCTCCCAACCCTGCTGCCCTCCCTTCTGTCGTAGCTGCTGGGATTCTGCCTGCAGGGTGTGCACCCTTGGTGGCCTCACAAGGAGACAACATGGTGACTTGGGCAAGACCTTTTACTAGGAGTTCTGGAGGGTTGCTATAAGGGTCACTTTCTCATGCATCGCGAACGTTCTGGACTTGTATGAGTGATCTCTTACCCTAGTTGCCCCCAGTTACAGAGAGGGAGGAAAGCTGCTTCTCTATTTCCCTTGGGTGTCAGGTGGGCTTTTTTGGTGGTCATGTCCCCAGTGTGCCCTGCTGTTTGAGGTCAAAGGTTAGGAGAGGACATGTCTAAGAACGACACTCAAGTGAACAAGAAGGAAGCCAAGGACCCAGATCCTTCATTTGTTTTCCCCATTAAGGGAAGAGCAATGCCAGCGCTGGCTGTGGTCATGGCTTCTCAGCACACAGTTGCTGGTAATCTAAGCTAAGTCAGGCTCATACCTCACCTCCCATGCCTCACTCAGCCTTGGCATCTGGGCTGGGAAAGCTGGAATCCTTAGAGCCATCTGGGCTGCTGCCAAGAGCCATGAACAAAACCAACAGGGTCTTTGCTAGGAAACTCGGGAGCAAGCCTATGGTTTTCACTACCGTTTCATGAAGCTGGTGGAGGATTTTTCTAAAGGACACCGGAGAGTCTTCCTGAAGGGGATGCTCCAGTGTCTGCAGCACAAGAATTGGGAATGCCTGCAGATCCATTTCAGGCTTATCTGTCCTTCAGGTGGGACATTCTGACCGCGTTGACGGCCTTCACGTCTGCCCTGCTCTGTGTTAGAGCCGGTTCGAGGCACAGAGACTTGTTGATGACTCTGGCATTGCCTACACACCTTGTCATGCCAGGAACAAACTGAAGATGGTTTTGACAAGAAGCAAAGGCTGTGTGGGTGGGAGACTTGACAGCTCCCAAAGGAGCCGCCTTGGGGGTTTTGTTAGGACTGCTCATTCTCCTCTAGAACATTCCTTTGTGTGGGAGTTTGAGTCAACAAATACCAGGCCCTATTCCCAATTAGGTGCTGAGAATACCTAGACCAGTGGTTCTCAACCTGGGGGTCATGACCCCATTGAGAGAATTAAAAACCCTTTCACAGGGGTTGCCTAAGACCAACGGAAAACACAGGTATTTATATTACGATTCATAACAGTAGCAAAATTACAGTTATGAAGTAGCAATGAAAATAATTTTATGACTGGGGGTCACTACAACATGAGGAACTGTATTTAAGGATCACAGCATCAGGAAGGTTGAGAACCATTGACCTAGATGAACAGAAATCTGCCTTTGTTGTCAAGAAACTAAGTGCTTTGTTGGGACAGGGACCGGTGAGTTGACATCAAGGTGCCACTAATACTTCCTGTTTTTTCCCCCGACTCTGGGTCTTGCCACTATTTCTGACAAAGGTAGAGGGAAGCCGCATTGTATAACTTCATTTATTTTCATTCTTCAAATGTTTCTTGTAGGAGCATTGTCACCTTGGAAGGAATGTGTGTGACTTCACCATGCTGTGAGGAAGCCTAAGCTGGGCACATGATGTGGGACCATAGGAAGAGCACGAAGGCCATGCACAAGTGAGCAGGTCATTCACAGGTCTTCACCCCCGCTGCCACCAGAGTGCAATTAAGTAAGTGACCTCCTTTGATGCCATCCTGAGCAGAAATGCCCGGGCAAGCCCTGCCGACATTCTTGACCCTTCAAATTGGGAACAGATAAAGTGGCTTCTTTTAAGCCACAAATCTTGTGCTGTTACATAGCCTCAGAGAGTGCAATGGGCAAGCATCTCCTTAGATAATGGCAGAAGAGGTAAGTGTAGGATGCTGCAGGACCACAGAGGAAGGGTAACCAAGGCAACCTCCGGAGATGAGAGCAAGGCATGGGATGATTCCAAAGATTTGCTGGAGTCCAGTATCCTCTTTAAAGACCTGGGTGTGAGCCAGCCTCCGGGGCACAGTGGAAGGAAATAAGGTAACTATGAGGGTGACTCAGGCATGAGGCATATGTGAGGGTCCTTCGTAAGGTGTGAGGCAAGTGTGCTTAAGTGTGCAGAGGTGCTCATAGTGATAGCAGGGATAGATGGCATTGATTGGCTACTTACTCCATGGTACATGTTGATGTAAGGTTTTCTCTTTGTGAACACGTGTAATTCTCACATTATCTGTTCACACTGGAAGGACACGAGGCAAACAGAGTCGTTGTGAATTGTTCAAGGGCACCTAGCTGGCAAGAGCGGAGTCCAGATTCAGGTTCAGGAGAACCTGAGGAGCTGTGTTTGGTCCCTTATGCAGCTTGGGGCCTGTCCAGTAGGCGATGGCAGTTGACCTAGAGGTTTAAAACAAGTAAGTGACGCCGGGGCGGTGGTGGCACATGCCTTTAATCCCAGCACTTGGGAAGGCAGTCAGATCTCTGTGAGTTAGAGGCCAGCCTGGTCTACAAGAGCTAGTTCCAGGACAGGTTGGTTTCAAAGCTACAGAGAAACCCTGTCTCAAAACAACAACAGCAACAGCAACAACAACAAAAAATGAAACAAAACAAAACAAACAAAAAGAAAAAAACAAGTAAGTGACATGTCTCATCCAAAGATTCTGCATTTGCTAGACATGGTGGCACATGCTTCTAATCGCATCACCCTGAGGCTGAAGCAGGACAATGCCTTTGAGGACAGCCTGAGCTACACAGCAAGGGCCCTTTATGTCTGAACCAAAACAAATACCTCCCCATCTTCACGCCATGATGCAACTTCCCTGCATTGCTGCTAAAAAAAGCTTTGTGGCTTCTAGTTCCCTGCTTTGGTTGTTTTCTTTGCCTATTGACTATTACTCTGTAAGTCTAGCAACGGACGCCTTGTAAGATAAGGAGGAGGACAGGTTGCTTATCTTTGAGGGATACAAGCACAAGGTTCAGGGGAACTCTCTCGACTTCAGAGATGGTCATGGCAGTAGATGGGAGGACAGAACACTGAGGGAGATTAAGGGTGTGGCATCCACTAACCAAGAGAAATGACCACGAGGATAGCAGCGGGCATGAGCAAGCCTGTTTCCATATCTTGTGAGCTGTCCGGCTTTGCAGACAGTCTGCATATCTCTCCTTCCCCTGGCCCTTTCAGACCATTAGTGTCAAAATAGTTAAACAGCTGTTGGGGTCCAAACAACGATTTAGCAAAGGACCATCTTTGCTAAATTCAGCTAGGACCACCACGTCTAGCTTTGGTCCTAGCTGAAGGGGTGCTCACGGACAGGCCAGGGAATTGCGGCTCCTGAACCACATCCACCCACGTTCTCTCTGCTCTCTGTCCTGCCTAAGGTGTTCAGGAACATCTGAGAGCACTCAGTAGGGTCTGAAGCTGTGTGCAAACTAGGATTCAGGCTTCAACAGCATTCTGTGTGAAGAGGGAAGTCTGGCTTAGGGTAGAAGCTAGATCTGGCCTCAAGACATACTTTGGCTGACACTTGCTTTGTGATGATATGGACAAATGTCTAGACTTTTCTAGTGTTCTTGCCTGTAGTACAAAGGTGTTGGTTGGAGATTAACCTCACTACAAACAATAAAAAGGACTATGACCTGGGTTTTCTGAATGAGAGCCAAAAGTTTGGCCTTGTGCTAAACATTTAGGATTCTTTTAAATCAATTAATTTTTATTGGAGACAAGTTCTCATGTGTCCCAGACAGGCCTTGAACTTGCTAAATGGCTGAAGATGACCTCAAACCCCTGGTCTTCCAAACTCCACGTCCTAAGTGCTGTAGTTACAGATGGGCCTATGCCTGACTTTGTATACTTTTCTTTGAAAATATTAAAATGATCCAAGCTTAATGAGGCTCACGGATGCCATCTCTTCTCCTGTTGGAAGCTCTCTGTGCCAGTAAGCTGCTGCTGTGTAACAAACCTCAGCAGCTGAAAACAATAATAAATGTATAATAACAGATTGACTGTAGTTCAGTGTAGAGTATGTGCCTGGCATACTCAAGGCAATAGATTTGGGCTCCAGCATCTCAAATATAAACAAATAAGTTCACAGATGCATAAATAAATAAGCCTCACAGTTTCTGTGTGTCAGGAATGTTTTGACTGGGTGGTTCCAGCTTGGGATCTTTTATATAAGTTTGCTGGGGCTGCAGTCTTCTCAAGTTTTGCCTGGGGCTCATAGGACACTTTCAGTATGGCAGGTCAGCTTCGGCTTTAGCAGGAGGGTTTATTCATCACCCTTCCACTCCAGGATGGTTCAGAAGACCACTGGAATGTCCTCAAGCATGTCAGCTGGCTTCCCCTAGAGTGAGTGAGCCAAGACGCAGTAACAGCCGCAGGCATCTCTTTTATGCCTCGGAAGGCATGTCCCACCATTTCCACAACGGTCCATGGCTACATTGCTCAGCCTGTTCCACATGAAGAGAACCACATTGGGTCACACATGCACGCACACACATACACATACATGTGACTGTGACCCAGGGATCATTGGTGGTATCATCTCAATGTCTGCATCTTCCCCATAGACTTCCATCACATTCTCTGTCTTTTGCTTTCATAACATTCATCTGCAAATATGGGGTTTGGTTGTTTGATATATACTTCCTTCCTGGTAGGTCGTGAGGTTTCCAAGAGTCCAAGATTTTCTTGCTGTATCCTCAGTGTCTAGAGCAGTGCAGGTACACAGTCAATGCTCAGTATTGAGCTTGAGCCGGGCCCTATTTTTAAAGCTGTTTCACCCCCGGACAATTGCTTTGACTGCACTTTGATTTTGCTCTTATTGGCCTCTGCATTCTTTGCAAAAATTGTCTGTGAAGAATAACCTTATTAAAATGACTGAGCACATTTTCTTTTCAAAGCCCCACACGCAATTAAGGTCATTATTTGACTAGTGAGCATCTTGCTAAATTACACATGGATTGCTAACTTGATTATGTTTGTGGGAATTATCCATTTTCTGGATTATTTGCTAGAAAAAGAAAAGTACTTTGCTGGCCACCCACTCTTCATTTTCCTTCCCAGCCTCCTGAGGGAGGGGCCCTGGTATTCATCAGGCACACAATGGGGTACCCCTAGAACAATGCCTCACCCACCCACTCTCCTGGCTAGGGAGGAGAAATTTGGAGCAGGCATGGAGAGAACAGATGAAAGTGTCCCTATTATTCCCCTTTCTTAAGGGTATGCAGGGAGCAGAGTTTTTGGAGCAAGCGAAGCTGCCTGTGGGGGAGAGAGCTTTGGAGTTTGAGAAAGACCGGGATGAGTGAGAGCCAGGAGAACGAAGGGCCACCAAAGTTGGCTGCTTCGGCTGTGGCTGTTCTGATCTCGCCCTAATGAAAGGTGATGATGGCCCCGGAGTTTCTTCAAAGCTCATCCCCCCCCCCCCCCCCGCCACCTCCAGGAGGAAAGCAGAGAGATTCTAAGCCAAGAACTGCCTCGGGGAAACAAAATAGGTCGCACTTAGTCGCAGTCATCTCCAGGCACCTGTGGGAGGCTATGGACAACTGGACTAACACCAGACCCGGCAAGTAGACGGACATGTAGACATCCTCAGACACTGAGTTTGTCGTCACTAACAGTCTAGATGGCTCTGTGTGATAGAGGATTGTATTTAACATTTACTCAGCATTCATTGGGGTGGGTTCTCCGAGGGCCTGCCTTTTTTTTTCTTTGACTTCCCCAGAAGGGTCTGTGCATAGCAGGGAAGAACACAGGCTTTAACACAGGCTTAACCCCAGGCTAAGCCCTTGATCCAGTATTCAAAGGAGGTGACCTTATGTGAGTTATTTTACTTCTCTGTGCCTCTATTTCCTCCAATGTAAAGTGAGAATAATGATTGTGCTTTGTTCATGAGGATTCAGCTGTTGGGAGAAGTCACGCAAAGCTTTCTGATCACTGTGTTCTGTTAAAGAACTCACACCATGGGCATATAAGAGACGGTGCATATTGCCATGTGTTGGAGTGAGGTGACAAATTCCTAGATGAGACTCTCATGAAACGTATGCTTGTGTACGTGGGCTGTGTGTGTGTGCTCGTGCGCACACTCACATGCACAGGGGTGGCACATAGTTAAGAACTGCCTGCTTTCCATGTCCATAGTCTAACCCTAGAAACCTGTGATATGTTAAATTACAAATCAAGGGAAATTAAGATTATAGATAGGAGTATGATCACAAGTTCCTTGGCTTTAAAATAGATAGATAACCCTGGGTCATCCAGGTAGGTCTAATAACACCATATCCTTAAATGGTGGAAGGGAAGCAGAAGAGTGTCTGAGTGAGGCTGTGTATAGATTGATCCACTATTGCCGATTCTAAAGACGGAAGGAGAATGCTATTCAAGGCACACAGAATCCTCTCCACCACAATGGAAAGGCAAGGGAGTGACTTGTATCCTTAAAGACAAACTGACTGAAATCTTGATTTGTAGCTCAGTGAGAGCCATTCCAGACACCCAGCCTCTAGAACCGTAAGACATAAATCTGTTCAAGCCCCCATGTTTGTGGTAATTTGCTTCAACAGCAAGTAGGAAGGAAAGAAAAAAGTTGGTGAGTATCTTGGCCAGTCTTCCTATTGCTGTGATGAGACACCATGACCAAAGCAACCCGAGAAGGAAAGGTTTATTCTGCTTACACTTCCACGTTGCTGTTCATCATCCAAGGAAGT